CTGCTTTCTGCACGTGGCTAGCCAGTTTTCCCAACACCATTTATTACTGCCCAAAGTAATTTACAGATTCAACGCTATTCCCATCAAGCTACCAATGACCTCCTTCACAGAACTAGAAAAAAACACCTTAAACTTCATATGGAACCAAAAGAGAGCCCGCATAGCCAAATCAATTCTAAGCAAAAAGAACAAAGCAGGAGGCATCATACTACAGGACTTCAAACTATACTGTAAGGCTACAGTAATCAAAACAGCATGGTACTGGTACCAAAACAGAAGTACAGACCAATGGAACAGAACAGAGGCCTCGGAGGCAACACAGCATATCTACAACCATCTGATCTTTGACAGACCTGACAAAAACTAGCAATGGGGAAAGGATTCCCTGTTCTTTTTATTTTTTTTATTTTTGTTTTTATTTTTTACATTGTCAATGTGTTTGTTCTTTAGGTTTTGGGGTACATGTGAAGAACATGCAAGATTGTTGCATAGGTACACACATGGCCGTGTGATTTGCTGCCTTCCTCCCCTTCACCTGTATCTGGCATTTCTCCCCATGCTATTTCTCCCTGTTCTTTTTATTTATTTTTATTTTATTATTTTTTTTTTTTGAGATGGAGTTTTGCTGTTGTTACCCAGGCTGGAGTGCAATAGTGCAATCTTGGCTCACCGCAACCTCTACCTCCTGGGTTCAGGCAATTCTCCTGCCTCAGCCTCCTAAGTAGCTGGGATTACAGGCACGCGCCACCACGCCCAGCTAATTTTTTGTATTTTTAGTAGAGACAGGGTTTCACCATGTTGACCAGGATGGTCTCGATCTCTTGACCTTGTGATCCACCCGCCTAGGCCTCCCAAAGTGCCGGGATTACAGGCTTGAGCCACCGTGCCCGGCCCTGTTCTTTTTATTTTTAATTAAAGTCTCACTCTTGTCCCCCAGGCTGGAGTGCAATGGTGTGATCTTGGCTCACTGCAACCTCTGCCTCCTGGGTCCAAACGATTCTTCTGCCTCAGCTTCTCAGGTAGCTGGGACCACAGGCGCCTGCCACCATGTCCAGCTAATTTTTGCATTTTTAATAGAGACAAGGTTTCACTGTGTTGACCAGGCTGGTCTTGAACTTCTGACCTCAGGTTATCCACCCACCTGGGCCTCCCAAAGTGCTGGGATTGCAGACGTGAGCCACTGCACCCAGCCTTATTTATTTAATTTGAGAGAGTCGTACTCTTTCACCCAAAATGGAGTGCGGTGGCATGATCACCACTCACTGCAGCCTCAAACTCCTGGGCTCAAGCGACCCTTCCACCCTAGCCTCCCAGGTACCTGGGACTGTCGATTTGTGACATCATACCAGGCTATTTTTTTTTTTTTTTTTTTTTTTTTTTTCATTTTTTTGAAGAGATAGGGTCTCACTATGTTGCCTGGCTGGCCTCAAGTGATCCCCCTTCTCTGGCCTCCCAAAGTGCTGGGATTATAGGCATGAGCCACTGAGCCCAGCCTATGTCCTTTTTTCATACTGTGAAGAAACCAAGGCAGAATTATGACCCCTGGTTCTTTTTTAGACAGTTTGTGTTCTGTTACCCTAGCTGGAGTGCTGTGGTGTGATTACAGCACACTACCACCTCTGCCTCTGCGGCACAATCAGTCCTCCCATCTCAGCCTCCAAAGTTCTGGGATTACAGACATGAGCCACTGCGCCCCACCAGGTACCCCTGCTTATTTAGCAGATAAGTGGCGGTGGCCAAGATTGCAACTGCTATGTTGCAGTGTACCTATTTCACATGCTTGAGAGTCAGGAGGGACTGTAGAGATGTGTTTATTCTTTTTTTGAGACAGAGTTTTGCTCTTGTTGCCTAGGCTGGAGTGCAGTGGCACCATCTCAGTTCATTGCAACCTCCACCACCTGTGTTTAAGCGATTCTTCTGCCTCAGCCTCCCAAGTAGCTAGGATTACATGTCTGGCGTATTTTTAGTAGAGACAGGGTTTCTCCATGTTGGTCAGGCTGGTCGGAATCTTCTGACCTCAGGTGATTGCATGCCTTGGCCTCCCAAAGTGCTGGGATTACACCACGGCCTGCCTTTTTTTTTTGAATGGTGAACCTTTCTGAGGATCGCAGACATTGTGGCTTGCCTAGCTTAAACTTACAGGACAGTAGTCTTAAATTGGTCATGAGGCCAATAGAAGTACTATTGAAAAAAATAAAATCAATCTTTGGATAGAATCATCTCCAAAACCCTAGAATGTATTAGTGTAAAAATGGGAAATAGAAATGTTTAATAGTGAAACTTCTATGTCTATGAGGACTGTACACAAAATTTAGTTTCTGTTTTATAACCATACAGTTTATGGCTTTAAATAATAGCAGATTCTGGCAATAACTTTTACTAAACATAGTTGTGTGAAATTTTGGGATCTAAAAAACAGAGTTCATACAATTGGAAAGGTAAGGTCACAGTAAAAGTGACATAATTGTTGCCCCATCCTCCCTCCCCTAAATAAAATAAATTCTCAAATAATATTTTTAAAAATTGAGCATTGGCCTTTTAAATTTTATTGTGATGCACTTAAAGTCAACACAGAGTTTAACAAAATGAATGTTTTAAGATGTAGAAAATCATATGGCATCACATGCAGTGGAACTTCAGAAATTTTTTTTTTTTTTTTTTTTTAGTTGGAGCCTCCCTCTGCCTCTCAGGTTCAAGCGATTCTCCTGCCTCAGCCTTCCTAGTAGCTGGTACTACAGGCATGCGCCACCACACCCAGCTAATTTTTGTATTTTTAGTAGAGACAGGTTTTCACCATGTTGGCCAGGATGGTCTCGATCTCTTGACCTTGTGATCTGCCTGCCTTGGCCTCCCAAAGTGCTGGGATTGCAGTCATGAGCCACTGCACCCAGCCTTTAAAACTTTTCTTAGAGTTCTTAGAGACGAGTTTTCACTTACGTTGCCGGGGCCTGGAGTACAGTGGCTGTTCACAGGTGTGGTCCTAACACAGTACAGCCTCAAACTCCTGGGCTCAACTCATCTTCCTGCATTAGTCTCCCACGTAGCAGCACTGTAGGCATGCACCACTGTGCCCAGCCTAAAAGAGTCATCTTAAAAATCAAGTATGACAAAGTCTAAAGGAACGAAACAGCAGAAAGATACAAAGACATAAAGCTATATTAGGGTAATATTGATACGAAACTAGATCTGTTGTTTAGGCGTACTTAGATACATTTTATGATTTTCATCCTGGATGCACTTTATGGAGTATAAAGCCTTTGAGGCAGGAAAAAAAAACCTATTTCAGATTTAGCATCCAGTCCTGTCTGGAAAGAACTTTCAGGTTTAAATTTAACACTGACTTGTTTTCCTTTCCTTTCCTTCCCCCCTCCCCCCTTTCCCCCCTCCCCCCCTTTCCCCCTTTTGCTTTCCTGAGACAGGTTGTGATCAGTAGCACGATCACAGCTCACTGCAGCCTCCACCTCCCAAGCTCAATCAATCCTTCTGCCTCAGCCTCCTGGGTAGCTGTTTCTGTGCCACCATGCCTGGCTAATTTTTGTGTGTTTTATAGACATGGGGTTTCACCATGCTGCACAGGCCAGTCTCAAACTCCTGAGCTGAAGTTATCCTCCTGCCTTGGCTGGCCTCCTAATGTGTTAGGCTTACAAGTGTGAGCCACCTTACCTTGCCAACACTGCCTTTCCTTTCATGTGTTATAGTTGTGCATTAATAACCTTTCCAAAGCTGGGCACAGTGACTCACACCTGTAATCCCAGCACTTTGGGAGGCCAAGGAGGGCAAATCACTGAGGTCAGGAGTTCGAGACCAGCCTGGCCAACATGGTGAAATCCCGTCTCTACTAAAACCCCATCTCTACTGTATTTTTGTATTTAAAAATAGAAAAATTAGGCTGGGCGTGGTGGCTCACACCTGTAATCCTAGCACTTTGGGAGGCCGAGGTGGGAGGATCACTAGAGGTCCGGAGTTCAAGACCAGCCTGGCCAACATGGTGAAACCTCACCTTTTAAAAACAGAAAAATAAATAAAAATAAATAGAATAATTAGCCAGGCATGGTGATACATGCCTCTAATTCCAGCTACTTTGGAGTCTGAGGCAGAAGAATTACTTGAACCTGGGAGGCGGCAATTACATTGGGCTGAGATGGCGCTACTGCACTCCAGCCTGGATGACAAAGTGAGATTGTGTTTAAAAAAAAAAAAAAAAAAAAAAAAAAAAAAAAGATGATAATCCACCTAGTAACACTTAAGTTTTATGTGAAGGAAGGGAGATATTTTGGAATTTGGAATTTTAATTTACATGGTTTGGTTTGTAGTGTTATAAAATTAAATATGGAATAGCGTGGTTTTGGAATATATCTGAAGGAGTTACGGAAGTACCAGTGGGAGAGAATTAAATATTGGTTTTTATGTTAATAGTTTTTCCCCGTACCGTAGGAACCCACCAAGAGTCTTAATTGTGTTGGCATGTATGAAAATATCCAGTGGCTAGGAGCAGTGGCTCATGCCTTTAATCCCAACACTAGGAGACAGAGGTGGGAGAATTGCTGGGAGCTGGGAGTTTGAGACCAAGCTGGGCAACGTAGCGAGACCCTGTCTCTCCAAAAGATTTTTTAAAATTTGCCAGGCATGGTGGCTCGTGCCTGTAGTTGTAGTCACTTGGGAGGCAAGTTTTTTAAAAATGTGAAAATTGCCCTTTATTTTGGGATGTCTTTCCCATATTTGTTTTTTCTACTGGGGAGGATCAGCAGATAATGACTAAAATCGATAATAGAAAATACGAGTAACTGCCAGTATTGCACATTTTTTCTTTTATTGAAATTCAGGAGTCTGAAAGTCACTAATTTACCTAATATGATTCAACAAATGAAATTCTTAAACTTTATTGGTTGAAAGATACATATTTCAAGAAATAAGAAAATAGTTGGCAACCCTCTCCAATATAGTTTTAAAACCAGTTTGTTTTTTTTTTTAAGTTAAATACCTTTGTTTTTCTTTACTAGGTTTGTAAATATTATCTCTGTGGTTTTTGCCCCGCGGAATTGTTTACAAATACACGTTCTGATCTCGGTAAGTGAATTTTCTGTTTAACTTTTATCAAATGTATGATTTTTAAAATGTTGAATAGAAGTGATGAGGGAAAAAAACTGGTTCTTTATGATTCTGTAAAGTTTTTTCTTAAAGATTTGCTGATAAGTAATTTCTTACTTCGTTTAGATATTTGAATGTATTAATAAATGTCAGTCTGATTAAACATGGTGGCTTTATTAAACATACATGTCTATTTCCACTCCCTCCCAAAACTCCACTTAAATGAAAAAATTTTTAAAAAGATGTAAATGGAAGAGGAAATAACATTAGAGATGTCAGCAGATTTTTGGAAGATGACAAGTGGATGGAGGAGTAGCAGCAAACGCAACAGAGCAGAGCAACCTGTACCCTGGGGATACTAAACAGAAGCGAGTGTTTGATCAGCAGAACCCTGGACAGGCTCAGGATTTGGAGGCACCAGGTACCACAGAAGGCAGGGCTGAGTCATGGGGCTGAAAATGAGAGAGATGAGTCTATAGTCTATAGTTCAGGGTTTCTCAACCTTGACATGGTTGATGTTTTGAGCCAGTTTTGGAGGGGGCTTTTCATGCATTGTGGGATGTTAAGCAACATCCCTGGCCTCTACCCACTATATACCAGTAACACCCCCTGTTGTGATACCCAAAAATGTCTTCAGACATTGCCAGATGTCCCCTGGGATGCAAAATTGCCACTAGCATAGGTAGTCCTGTGCATCTGTTGACCCTACCTCTCCCACCATATACTGCAGGAGAAGAGAGGGTTATTTCCTCGAGAAATTGGACTAGAGAGACTAGTTTATCTCAGCCACAAAATACAGAAAATAATTGACTGTTGCCTCAGTCTTTCAAGGGTGGTACATAACCAGGATCATTCTGGATACGTAAAAGAAGCCAATTCATTATGTATAATGTTTGCCTTAGAGCTTTAGGAACATTTTAAGGCAGGACTCGTCCAGATCTTGAGATTTCAGACACAGCGGGGGCAGTAGTGAGTAAAAATAAGAATGTAAAAGAGAGTAAATGAATCTATATTTTTATTGGTGGGGCTCTCCTCTGCCCTGTTCCTAGAAGGATACAGCCAGATGTTTTTCCCCAGGCAGAAGAAAAGAGGATTCTTCTCTAGAGAAAGTGAACAGTTCCTGAGAAGTGATCTCTACAGGTACTGACCCTTGGGGAATCTCTTAAAACAAAGTCTTACTGCCTGGTTTTCCTGTGGTACAGCCCATTCATGAGTTGACAACCCCTGCCCAATCCCTACTAACTTCCAGTCAGATTTTGGAAGTGTCTTTTTAAAATTAGTTGTCTGCCAAGGACCACCAGCGAGACGTTCGAAGAAGTCTTTCAACACGAGAGATTTAACAAAAAACCAACAGAGAAAGAAGAATTTAGTGGAATTGGAGATAATGGGGAAAGCAGAAGAGAGATTTTTCAAAATCTTAAGAAATTTAGTATCTTCAGAGAAATATGGGAAGATACTATATTCATCAGCATTAATAGGATGCCATAAAAAGGGAACTTGTGGAAAAGTTTGAAAAATATTTTTTGAAAAAAAGCTCTTAGAAATTAAAACTGGAGAAATCGGAACTAAAATCACTGGAATGATTTGAAAATAAAATTAAGGAAATTTGCTGGAACGTTGGCAGTAGGACAGAGGATTTAAAAAAAAAAAAAAAACAGTCCAGGAACTCTTAATACCAGCTTAATAGTTGTGGACAAAATAAAAACAGAGGGAATTGCTTAAGAAAAAAGAAAACTGCAACTAAAGGACATTCGTCTTTAGGTTGAGTAGGCCCTACAAGTGATCAGGGCAGTGAATGAAAAGATTCATACCTAGGCATACCCCTGTATTTTAGAACATGAGGGTGGTGGGGGTGGGTGTAGGTCACAGAATTACCTAAGACTGGTTAGTAGCAACGGTGGAAGTTGAAGACCATGGAGAAACATCCTCAGGCTGAGTGAAAATGTGTCTGCCAGGCTTAGCTGTATAGCCAAACATCAAAACGTGAGGGGAAAAAAGACATTTTCAGATACACATGGTCTCAGCAGATTTATCTCCCACGGACCTTTTCTCAGGAAACTCCACCAAAACCTGTCTATAAACCAAGAAAGAGGAAAGAAAAAACATGCATCATGAAGGAGGGCAAGAAAAAAAAAAAGATCTAGCAATTCTCTTCTACTACAGAGCAGAAGAGGAATTCATCAAGATAATAATACTGTAGTGAGCTTAGAAAATAAGTGTCACAGATTGAAGTAAGGCAGAAGGCCTTGGAAGAAAATGAAACTGATTATCTGATATATTTTGAGTCATAAGAGGAATTAGTATCAAAATAGTTTCTATAGCTTAGGTGAAATGTTTGAGAAGAATTTGAAAATACATAGAAAAAACTAGGCTCACACCTGTAATCCCAGCACTTTGGGAGGCAAAGGAGGGTAGATCACTTAGGGGTCCGAGTTTGAGAACAGTTTGGCCAACAGGGTGAAATCCTATCTCCACTAAAAATACAAAAAAATTAGCTAGGCGTGGTGGTTGGCCCCTGTAATCTCAGCTACTTGGGAGGCTGAGGCAGGTGAATCCCTTCAACCTAGGAAGCGGAGGTTGCAGTGAGCTAAGATTGCACCACTGCACTCCAGCCTGGATGACAGAGTGAGACTCTTGTCTCAAAAAAAAGAAAGAAAATTCTGAGAAAAGTACATCAGAAGTTTCTCATAATGCACCTTTGTTTGCCTGATGGTGAATAGTACTCGCTTAATATAAACACTAAATGTTTATTTATCCTAAAATTTTGATACCTAGGATTGATAAATAGCAAAATAAGCATGGAATTTAGAGAGGTGGATGTAAATTTGAGAAGAAATAACAGAGTTAAGATAATTGCTTTTTAGAGTTGGGAAGGAGTAGGACTAGGGTACTGGTCTAGTGCTATTTGACTGTATAAACAGATTTAAAAATAAGGTCCGTAGTGGTTCGGTCCAGTGGTTTACCCCATCAGTTTTCTTTGGTGGCATTAAGGAACAATTTCATTTCACCTTCCCTCCTTTTCTCTTTCCCTCCCTCCCTTCTCTTTTTACTGTATATTGTTGCTCTCTGTTGTATTAACTTTGAAGACTGAGCAGATCAGTTTTATGTGCTATTTGAGTATGATGCTTCATGATTCAGTAGGATCAATTTAGATGTCTACAAACTACTCAGTGATAAGATGAATCTTTTTAAAAAGAAAAATAACTTTTTTTTGGCAAGAGAAAAGGTTGCTAATATCACAGATAATTCATACCATTATATTTCCTTTTTCCCCAGGTCCATGTGAAAAAATTCATGATGAAAATCTACGAAAACAGTAAGTCATTTTGGCCCCTCCCCCCTTATTTGGTTTAAGGGGACAAGGGTTGAGGAAATAATTGAAATTAAATGTCAAATGAGTGTCTGAGAGAAATCCAGTCACTGGCTGGGGATAGTAAGAAAGTTATATAGCTTCAGAAATAGTACTGATAGCCACTGCATGAGTGCATCCTATATGTCAAGATTTTTTTCTATAGCCCATTTGATTGGTGGTTTTTTTTTTTTGTTTTTTTTTTTTGGAGGGGGGCGGGAGATAGAGTCTTTGTTGCCAGGCTGGAGTGCAGTGGAGAGATCTTGGCTCACTGCAATCTCCACCTCCTGGGTTCAAGCGATTCTCATGCCTCAGCCTCCTGAGTAGTTGGGATTACAGGCACGTGCCACACTCAGCTAATTGTTGCATTTTTAGTGAAGATGGGGTTTCACCATGTTGGCCAGGATGGTCTCGATTTCCTGACCTCATGAATCCCGAAGTGCTGGGATTATAGACCTGAGCCACTGTACTTGGCCAACTTTTTTTCTTTTCTTTTTCTTTTTATTTTTTTTAAGACAGCCTCATTGCGTTGCCCAGGCTGGAGTGCGGTGGCATGATCTCGGCTTGCTGCAGCCTCTGCCTCCTGGGTTCAAGCAGTTCTTCTGCCTCAGCCTCCCAAGTAGCTGGGATTATAGGCACTCACCACCACCCCTAGCTAATAATTTTGTATTTTTAGTAGAGATGGGGTATTACCATGTTGGCCAGCTGATCTTGAACTCCTGACCTCAAGTGATCCACCTGCCTTGCCTCCCAAAGTGCTGGGGTTGCAAGCATGAGTCACCATGCTCAGCCCCAATTTTATAGATGAGACTTGCCCCAGGTCCAGGGGACTTGTCACAGATCGAGTACAGTGGTAAAGCTAGTGGTTAAACTCCTGTGTAAAGCCTGTGCTATTAACCAAACATAATGCTCTATGATGAGGAGCAATCAGAAAGTCACTTCAGATACACGTGGTTAACCCTTCAGCCTAAATGCAGTAGTCATTGATGCTAGTTAAGATAGAATATTTGAGTTGTAATGGATAAAGATTTGGAAATTAGTACGTGTTTTTCATTTTATCAGGTATGAGAAGAGCTCTCGTTTTATGAAAGTTGGCTATGAGAGAGACTTTTTGCGGTACTTACAAAGTTTACTTGCAGAAGTAGAACGTAGGATCAGACGAGGCCATGCTCGTTTGGCATTATCTCAAAACCAGCAGTCTTCTGGGGTGAGTGAAATACATTCACAGTCTTTGTGAAGGGTCCTTGTTCTCTGGACACTCAGAGACCTCCCTAGTATTTTTGGAACTTACCTCTATTCATTAGTTTGTTCTTTTAGAATGATATAAAACTTACTAGGCATTTTTTTTTCAGTCTTTATTAGCAAGCATAACATTGATTTCGCTAATCATAAGATTTTTCTCTTAAATAGTAGTAACTGACATGTGATTGACCAACAGAAGTTGAAGATAATTGAATTACTGTCCTTTCAATTAAACATTTTAATTATTTTATTTTTTTACTTCTGTTAAACTGCATAGGGAACATTTTAACAAATAGAAATACTATGTATGGTATGTGAGAATTTGAATATTTATCTTTGTTTTATACTTGTTGGTAATACATTTTATTGTCTTCAACAGGCTGCTGGCCCAACAGGCAAAAATGAAGAAAAAATTCAGGTTCTAACAGATAAAATTGATGTACTTCTGCAACAGGTGAGAATTGTGTGCATTAATGTCGGGAAATGCTTGAAACAGACTTGTAGCCAGCAAAAATAGAAAGATGGGCTGGGTATGGTAACTCGTGTATAATCCCAGCAATTTGGGAGGCTGAGGCAGGAAGATTGCTTAAGCCCAAGAGTTTGAGGCCAGCCTGGGCAACAAACTGAGACCCAGGCTCCACAAAAATTAGCCAGGTGTAATGGCATACACCTGTAGTCCCAGCTACACAGGAGGCTGAGGCAGGAGAATTGCTTGAGCTTGGGATGGTAAGACTGCAGTGAGACCTGTCTGTGCCACTGCACTCCAACTTGGGCAACAGAGTGAGAGAGAGAGAGAGAGAAAGAGAGAGAGAGAGAGAGAGAGAGAGTATACACATACATATATAGGTATATAAAAGGATGGCAAATATGAGAAAATGCTCAACACTATTAGTCGTTAGGGAAATACGGATTAAAACTGTGATAAAATACCTATTTGACACCTGTTAGAATAGCTAAAATTTAAAAATCTGATTATACCAAATTTTGGCAAGGATGTTAACGAACTAGAGTTTAATATTGCACAACCACTTTGGAAAAAAATAGTCTGGTTTTTTCTTTCTTTTATATTCCTGCAGATCATATTGGAGTCTGTTTTGTTATTGTTATTACTGGTTTGTTGAGACAGTCTTGCTTTGTTGCCCAGGCTGGAGTGTAGTGGTGCCATCTCAGCTCACTGCAACCTCTGCCTCCTAGGTTCATGTAATTCTAGTGCCTCAGCCTCTTGAGTAGCAGGGATTATAGGCGTGCGCTACCATGCCTGGCTAATTGCTGTATTTTTAATGGAGACAGGTTTCATTGTGTTGACCAATCTGGTCTCCAGCTCCTGACCTCAAGTGATCCCACCCGCCTTGGCCTCACAAAGTGCTGAGATTACAGGTGTAAGCCACTACCTAGCCCTGGAGTCTGATTCTTAAAAAGTTAAAAATGTACCATGAGCCACTCCACTCCCAAATACTTATCCAGGAGAAATAAAAACATGTCTACACAAAGACTTGTACTCCAATGTGCTGTAGTTTTTTTTTTGTTTTTTTGTTTTTTTTTTTTTTGAGATAGAGTTTCGCTCTTGTTACCCAGGCTGGAGTGCAATGGCGCGATCTCAGCTCACCGCAACCTCCACCTCCTGGGTTCAGGCAATTCTCCTGCCTCAGCCTCCTGAGTAGCTGGGATTACAGGCACGCGCCACCATGCCCAGCTAATTTTTTTGTATTTTTAGTAGAGACGGGGTTTCACCATGTTGACCAGGATGGTCTCGATCTCTTGACCTCGTGATCCACCCGCCTCAGCCTCCCAAAGTGCTGGGATTACAGGCTTGAGCCACCGCGCCCGGCTGTGCTGTAGTCTTAATAGCAATTTAAAAAAAAAAACAAAACCTGAGGCTGGAATCAAAATATCTTTCAGCAGGTGAGTGGATAATGAGATTATGATATATCCATATGATGGAATACCTGTCAGTAATAAAAAGGAATTAGTTATATGAGAGGATATAGATGAATCTTAAAATACTTAGGTTGAGTGAAAGGAGCCAGACAAAGGAATATAGACTATATGACTTCTTATATAAAATTTTAGAAATTGCGTATTGACCTATAGTGACAGAAAGCAGATTTGTGGTTGCCTGAGGATTGTGTTTGGGATTGAGGCTGGAGGAGGTTCTGTAAAGAGCGGGCGGCTCACACCTGTAATCCCAGCACTTCGGGAGGCCGAGGTGGGAGGATCGAGGCCGAGGTGAGAGGATCGCTGTGGCTTGGCAGTTCAAGACCAGTGTGGGCAACATAGTGAGATGCTGTTTCTCCCTCTCCTCCTCCTCTCTCTCTCTCTCTCTCTCTCTCTCTCTCTCTCTCTCTCTCTCTCTCTCTCCCCTTTTTTTGCAGGATAAAGTCTCTGAATGCATCTCCTTTTTTTTTTTTTTTTTTTTTTAGGTGCATTTTTCTTTTCTTTTTTCCTTTTTTTTTTTTAAATTAAGACAGGGTTTCACCATGTTGGTCAGGCTGGTCTTGAACTCTTGACCTCAGATGATCCGCCCGCCTTGGCCTCCAAAGTGCTTGGATTACAGGCATGAGCCACCATGCCCAGCCTGCATTTTTTTTGAGGCGGAATCTCGCTCTGTCACCCAGACTAAATGAAGTGCAGTGGCGTGATCTCAGCTCACTGCAGCCTCCTGAGTAGCTGGGATTATAGGTGCCTGCCACCATGCTCGGCTAATTTTTGTATTTTTAGTAGAGACGGGGTTTCACCATGTTGGCCAGGCTGGTCTCGAACTCCTGACCTCAGGTGATCTGCCCACCTTGGCTTCCCAAAGTGCTGGCGATTACAGGCATGGGCCACCACACCTGGCCGAAAGTGCATTTTTCTTAACATATCAGTTATACTTTATTGAAGTATAAAAAAAAGAAATTGAGGATAAATTAAACCCAAAGAAGCTTTTGTAAATAAAACCCAACAAAAAAGATGGAAAACAACCACTAATGAACTGTGGGGAAAAAAGGAAATAGTTTGGTTTGAAAGAAATCTTACCTGTTTTTTTCCTCCACTTTTCTAAGATTGAAGAATTAGGGTCTGAAGGAAAAGTAGAAGAAGCCCAGGGGATGATGAAATTAGTTGAACAATTAAAAGAAGAGAGAGAACTGCTTAGGTCCACAACCTCGGTGAGTAAACCTCATTTCACATTATCTTACCTGTTCATTGAGAGCCTTTGAAAACTATTCTGATGTCCTAAATTTAGAGTCAACACAACTTGTAGGCCACAAGTTCCCTGGCACCTGCTAAACTCTGCATTTGTGTAGTGTGCAAGCAACTTAAGTATAGGAAACAAATGGGTATGGTTATGTCCCAATAAAATGTTAGGAAAAGAGGTCTCTCTGTTTGTTGGCTTGGCAATCACTACCTTAAATCATAAATTTTCATGAGCCTGGGTTTTATTCTCATTTTTATTGTAATAAATTACTCAGTACATGCTTATATCTTTGTTAAAAATTAATACACTCTTCATTCATTTAACTGGAGAACAGAATTCAGATATTAATTGATTGCTGAATATGATTGGTCATTGGTTCCTCCATATTGAATAGGATATGTTCAGATTATAGTTAGTGAACGCAGCTCCTTAATTAGTTTTGTGTATGGACATCATATCCCTTGAACCTATGCAAGGAGTGAATTCATACTAAAGTAGATGGCTTTCTGAAATGTGGTTTAAATTTTTTAAGGTGATGTGGGTGTTGAACATTGAACAGTGGGTCTCAGCATTTCACTTGGATGATTCAGCAAGTTAGTGTTGTCTTACATCCCTCTCTAAAAGTTGACCACTTGTAGCTCAATATTACTGCTTTGGGGAAATGGAAAGGAGCAACTCATACACATTAGAAATCTTTTCTGAATGTTGAGTACTTTCTTCAGATTTGTTTCTCTTCCTCAGATGTTCTTATGTTAACTGATTTATCATTTCAGACAATTGAAAGTTTTGCTGCACAAGAAAAACAAATGGAAGTTTGTGAAGTGTGTGGAGCCTTTTTGATAGTAGGAGATGCCCAGTCCCGGGTAGATGACCATTTGATGGGCAAACAACACATGGGCTATGCCAAAATTAAAGCTACTGTAGAAGAGTTAAAAGTAAGATTTGTTTGTTTGTTTGTTTTTGAGACAAATTATCGCTTTGTCACCTAGAGTGCAGTGACATGATCTCAGCTCACTACAACCTCCATCTCCCGGTTTAAGCAATTCTCATGCCTTAGCCTCCTGAGTAGCAGGGACTACAGGCATGCGCCACCACGCCCAGCTAATTTTTTGTTCAAGACAGTCTCGCTCTGTCACCAGGCTGGAGTGCAGTGGCATGATCTTGGCTCACTGCAACCTCCTCCACATTTGGGGTTCAAGCAATTTTCATGCCTCAGCCTCCCGAGTAGCTGTGATTGCAGGTGTGCACCACCATGCCCTGCTAATTTTTGTGTTTTTTTAGTAGAGGTGGGGTTTTGCCATGTTGGCCAGGCTGTTCATGACTCCTGACTTCAGGTGATCTGCCCTCCTCGGCTTCCCAAAGTGCTGAGCTACTGCACTTGGCCAACATAAGATTCTTCTTCTTCTTCTTTTTTTTTTTTTTTTGAGACGGAGTTTCGCTCTTGTTACCCAGGCTGGAGTGCAATGGCGCGATCTCGGCTCACCGCAACCTCCGCCTCCTGGGTTCAGGCAATTCTCCTGCCTCAGCCTCCTGAGTAGCTGGGATTACAGGCACACGCCACCATGCCCAGCTAATTTTTTTGTATTTTTTTTTTAGTAGAGACGGGGTTTCACCATGTTGACCGGGATGGTCTCGATCTCTCAACCTCGTGATCCACCCGCCTCGGCCTCCCAAAGTGCTGGGATTACAGGCTTGAGCCACCGCGCCCGGCCCAACATAAAATTCTTATAAAGATACATTTTAGCTATTTTTTTTTTTAAGTATTTTAGCTATAGATAAAAATAACTATATTCTAATATGGCTGAAGTAGAGATATGATCCTCTCATTGATATTTTCCAGTGTGTAATTGTTTGAAGCATTGCGAGTTCCCGTGAAATTTTGCTGTTTATCAAACTATGAAAGCACTTAATTTTCTTTTTTTTTTTTTTGAGACGGAGTTTCGCTCTTGTTACCCAGGCTGGAGTGCAATGGCGCGATCTCGGCTCACCGCAACCTCCGCCTCCTGGGTTCAGGCAGTTCTCCTGCCTCAGCCTCCTGAGTAGCTGAGATTACAGGCACGCACCACCATGCCCAGTTGATTTTTTTGTATTTTTAGTAAAGACGGGGTTTCACCATGTTGACCAGGATGGTCTCGATTTCTTGACCTTGTGATCCACCCGCCTCGGCCTCCCAAAGTGCTGGGATTACAGGTTTGAGCCACCGCGCCCGGCCAGCACTTAATTTTCTTAACTCTCAAATGCCAGATTTGGGAAGAATATTCCTGAGGATTTAGTCAAATCATGGTATCTTGTGTATGTACATGGTGTTAGAATGCCTGCATTGCCCTTGAGGGTATCAATTCCATAAGTTCGTCTACAGGTTACTTCACATTAGTTGACCATTGTTAACAGTGCTTTAAGGTTATAGTTGTATAAAAATCCAACTTGATTTTTCTAGGAAAAATTAAGGAAAAGAACCGAAGAACCTGATCGGGATGAACGTCTAAAAAAGGAAAAGCAAGAAAGAGAAGAAAGAGAAAAAGAACGAGAGAGAGAAAGGGAAGAAAGAGAAAGGAAAAGACGAAGGGAAGAAGAAGAAAGAGAAAAAGAAAGGGCTCGTGACAGAGAAAGAAGAAAGAGAAGTCGTTCACGAAGTAGGCACTCAAGCCGAACTTCAGACCGAAGATGCAGCAGGTCTCGGGACCACAAAAGGTCACGAAGTAGAGAAAGAAGGCGAAGCAGGTATATATAAAACACCTGAGGCTGATGTCAGTTCATGATGAGTGTTCAGAAACAATAGTAATTACCAGTATTATTCCTCGGGATGGTACTTGGGAAACTCTTAAGGATCTTTAAGTGATGGGATGGGGTGTGAGAGTGGAATCAGTGAATAAATAGTTCCATCTTCAGGGCAACTTCTGTGGTATTTCCGATCTGTCTAGGAAATTTCACACAATCTTTTTACAAAGTCAGAATACCTGATGGTCTCTTAAATTCTTATCTTACTGATTCCAAGAAATAAAATATGAAATCAGCCATACTGTTTTAATTAAAATTAACAAATTAAAGACCCTTAAAGAGCACAGTGATAACTATCTTAGCACTACTGAAGATAAACTGAATTTAGAAAGATTTTCAATAATTTTCAGTTCTTTTTTTTTTTTCTTTTTGTTTTTTTCCTTTTTGTGGAGAATGGGGTCTCGCTATATTGCCCAGGCAGGTCTCGAACTCCTGGGCTCAAGCTATCCTCCCGCCTCTGCCTCCCTAAGAGCTGGGATTACAGGCGTGAGCCACGGTGCCTGGCTAATTTTCAGTTCTTAAGATTTCTGTTGTAAATATGTAGTTCTGTTCATTTGCTTGGTAAGGCTGTTTTGCTTAGTCTTGTTATTAATAGCAGATGCTATTAATTCAAGGCCTTTACTCAGCTGTAATGCTGGCTGAAATTGTCTTTTTGTTTTTTAAATTATTAAGAAGTAGAGATCGGCGACGAAGCAGAAGCCATGATCGATCAGAAAGAAAACATAGATCTCGAAGTCGGGATCGAAGAAGATCAAAAAGCCGGGATCGAAAGTCATATAAGCACAGGAGCAAAAGTCGGGACAGAGAACAAGAGAGAAAATCCAAGGAGAAAGGTTAGTTTATGTGGGAACTCAATTCAGTTCATTAAGAAACTGTTTTCACACCCTAATTGCCCACCCACTTTTCTCCAAACACAGGCAGAGTTCCATTTCATACATACTCCTTTTCACTTCGAGGAACACCGTTCAGTAGGAGACAGGCATTCTTTCCCCCTCTCCTACTTAGATTTGTGAGAATGACAGTTTACTTGGTATTTTCTTAGAACATGTTAAACCACATCTTTCAGTTGATAACCTGGAGGTTTTTCATGTAGATTCTTTTAAGTATTATATTACCTTTCAGGATTATTAGGCTGCAGGATTTATTACATTACCTTGGTTATTTGCTACTTTTTTTTACCCACTGCAGTGTTTCATAATATGTCTCATAAAGTAAGTGTACATTGTTGCTTTAGTCTTCATTTATAGCATTCATTTAAATCAGTACTTAACGTCTAAATATCCAGACCTTGAATACCTTACATATGTCTTAACCTTTTAATGGAGTCAACATGCTCTTTCCCCTTTTTCTTTTTTTTTTTTTGTGGCATCCCAAGAGCCGATTTGTTGTGCTGTTGACACTATTAATGGACTTCTTAATTTTGTGTGACACGTTTTCAGAAGAATATTCTCATCACACTTGGCCTTTATTGGAAGATAATTATTTTAACCATCAGGGTCTCCTTTCTGAATTTTGTGTTCTTCAGATTCTTTTAGTGTCTTCAATTTTGTATTGAATGAGCTGTTCTGCTTTCCGTGGTTTTAGGAATGAGAGAAGGGGCCTACTTCTGATTTTCTCAGCTCTCCGTTTTCATTTCATTCTGCCTATCTGTCTCCATGTTTAATCACCAGCATAATATATGTGCTGTTTTTAGGTTTATTATACTAGTATTTTATGTGTTGCTTGTTTATTACATCCTTTAATAGAACCGTCCTGGTTTTTTGTTTTTGTTTTTCCTCTAGACTGAGCTAGAACTAGCAGCAGAAACCATGGACATATTTTTTGGTCTCTGCTTTTAGTTTCTTAAAATAAGCACACTGTTTTTGGAATATTTAACATACATTGGCCTTTTCTGTCATGTGGGAAAATAGTGAAACAGTAAGAAAAATTTTGCTTTGCTGCCAGATGCTCTAGTGTTTGCCATTCAAGTTGAGAAATTGCTTCTGTGATTCAAAAGGCAATTGCTACAAAGGGTTACTGATTTAGCATTAGTTTTAAGAATGTTTTACCCATTCTTTTTGCAAGACTTTCTGTGTAATATTTTTTTTTGGGAGTTGAGAGGTCAACTCTCAAGAGCCAGGTATGACTCTCAAGTCAAATCAGTAATTTTTGTTTTGAGAAAGTTTCTAGTTTTACATTTCCTATTGTTAGCTTTAGTTGCTCTATTCTATGTTATCATTTATGCCACTTACAATAGATGGGTTGGTTCTTAGGGATAAAAGCTAGCTAACCTTCATAACTACTTGAAATCAAAGTTGAGTGGTAAATGACACTGGCCTTACTAAAAACAGGCAGATTTGTGTAACTTCTGGCTAGAGCAAAAAGATGCTCCAGATTGCTTACCTTTTTTTGTAAATTGTAATGATAATGTCATGAAATTCAGTAAAACTTTTTTTTGTTTTTTTTTTTCAGACAGGATCTCACTGTGTCGTCCAGGGTGAGTGCAGTGGCACTATCACAGCTCACCTCCTGGGCTCAGGTGATCCTTCCATCTACCTCAGCCTCCTGGGTAGCTGGAACTATAGGTGCACACTACCATGCTTGGCTAATTTTTTTATTTTTTTGTGTAGAGATGGGGTTTTGCCATGTTGCCCAGTCTAATCTCAATCTCTCCTGGGTTTAAGCAATCCTCCTGCTTCAGTCTCCTAAAGTGCTGGGATTACAGGTGTAAGCCACCATGCCTGGCCCCTAGTAAAACTTTCTTTTTTTTTTTTTTTTTTTTGAGACCGAGTTTCGCTCTTGTTACCCAGGCTGGAGTGCAATGGCGCAATCTCGGCTCACCGCAACCTCCGCCTCCTGGGTTCAGGCAATTCTCCTGCCTCAGCCTCCTGAGTAGCTGGGATTACAGGCACGCACCACCATGCCCAGCTATTTTTTTTGTATTTTTAGTAGAGACGGGGTTTCACCATGTTGACCAGGATGGTCTCGATCTCTTGACCTTGTGATCCACCCGCCTCGGCCTCCCAAAGTGCTGGGATTACAGGCTTGAGCCACCGCGCCCAGCCGTAAAACTTTCTTTAAGCAGAATAAGCCTAGTTATGTTTAAATTGGGAACAGACAGGGATTTTCCGTGTGAGACTTGGTGGAAAGAGAGAAGATACCAAGAAAACTGTGTCAGGCTTGTCTCCCATGATTGGGTATGCCGTGATAGAGTTAAACGTTGGAATCTCTTTAGAAGTTACATCATTTGTTGGCTTTTGAAAATGCCATGTAAAAATAAATTAATTAAAATCAGTATGCAGATGAGTGGATTTTAAAAAGTATTTTTAAAAAATGTAGCCATCTAGGCTCCCTTAATAAGTGACTGAAGATCTGGACTTTGGGGCCAGATGTGAGCCACAGTGGACATTCAGTAATGGCAGATGTGAAAGAGCAAGTTTATTACTCCAGGTGCTTTGATAGAGGCAGTTTATCTCATTCCACAAATAGAAAGTGGTTTCCCATACAAAGCTAGCAGCAACCAGTGTAAGGTACTCTCTTCATCAAGAGAGTTTCCTTTTTTAATCCGTAGCCCTAAAATCCACCACACATTGTGGATGTCCTTAGGACTATTAAGATCTACCCTATTTACATAGGGCAGAAGATAAGATTATTGGACTGACTACTAGTCCTCTACGGGACAACAAGACGACTCTTCGTCATTGAAGCTACCTGTGCACCGGAGAAGCCCATAAGGCACAAAGGGAGGACTTTCCCACAAGGTCAGTTAGAGCCCACTGTCCTGGCACAGTTCTCACAAGTGGACAGACAGACATGAAGCAAGTCTTGCACTTAACTAGTTGGACATTGCTTTGTGTAATTTGCGAGTGTTACGGACTAAATATGTTCCTTTACATAAGAACTTCAGTTCTCTGAGTGGGTGCCCCTCCCATGCCACATTTTGTTTTCATTATTCTTTCCTAGATACTTGGTGTTGTGTCTTAATAACTGTACAGAAACTTTGTAGAGCGTTCTGTTTTTCTTAAAATGTCTTTCTGTCTTATTAACTAACTCTGTCAGACCAGCTATTCTGAGTAAGGGAAAAAATAATTTTTCTGGGAAGTTTCTAGTTTGCTTTAGTATTTTCTGTAGAAATCTTTTGTTGGGTGAATAATTGGAACCAAAAAAGCTAGACTGTGCTTGCTCTGTGTACCACTTTTATCTCTAGTCTGAGGTCTTATCCATCCAAAGAATAGTAGAGGAAAAAGTTGTTTACCTTTTTCATTCTTCATTTGCAGCTGAGTTGAATTTTAATTTCTCTTTTTGGAAAAACAACTCTCAGATGGCATATATATTACTTTTCTTAGCAAAGCACAAAAGTTCAGTTGTTTAGATTGGGATTTAAGATCCTTTTTCTTCCATTAGGCTTATCCTTCTTGGATATTCAAATATAAAAATTTTTTGCATTCAAAAATAAGTAGTTGTTTTTGTTAAAGCATGCCTGTTATAAATATTCAACTTCTTTTCACTTTTTGGGGTCACCATTTTTACCCTTCTGACTTAGTAATTTGACCTCATGTGAACATAGTTTTGTATGCTGTCTTTTATACCTTTCCCAGTGCTTTTTGATGTTTTTTTACCCACAATGAAATTTACTTAAATACTATATTCCGCAGTGTACTTAATAGCTTCTTACCAGTTGAGAGAATTTACCCACTGTTTTTTATTTTGTTTTTTTGTTCTTTACCCACTGTTTTACCTTTTGCTTCCTTGAATTCCCCTTCCTGCCTTCTCTCCCATATATTACAAATTTTGTCCCTTTGGTAAATTCACCAAACTGTTACTTGCAGTCTGTGGGAAATGATTGTCTTTTATCTCTCAGTTGTTTTTCAGAGTCATGTTCTTATTGTATAATACCTTAAAATCCGTGGTCAATGTCTTCTTTTATGGCAGAAAAGAGGGGATCTGATGATAAAAAAAGTAGTGTGAAGTCCTGTAGTCGAGAAAAACAGAGTGAAGACACAAACACTGAATCGAAGGAAAGTGATACTAAGAATGAGGTCAATGGGACCAGTGAAGACATTAAATCTGAAGGTGACACTCAGTCCAATTAAAACTGATCTGATAAGACCTCAGATCAGACAGAGGTAAGTGTATTGTTTCTCACTTTGATTAGGGCTTTTTGTTACTGTTTGACAGTGCAGCGTAAGTATGCACAGATGAAGATGGAACTAAGCCGAGTAAGAAGACATACAAAAGCATCTTCTGAAGGAAAAGACAGTGTAGTCCTGCAAAACATTTTGAGGTACATTGTTTTGTCTCAGCTATTTTGTAGCAGACTCGTGTCCCCATTAGTGTGCCTCTTTGGAAATTATTGCCCACATTTGTAATATAGTCGCCATTGAAAAGTTAATTATCCTTTTTTTAGGGATTTTGCTGTCATTTCTTTTTTTTTTTTTATATAAAAAGGTTGAACTGTTTTTTTTTTTTTTTTCTTTTTGGTATTAAGTCCATCTTGTGTTGGTACATTGGCAGAGACATATGCTTTAAAAACTTAAATATTTCAGAGGCACATGTTGGACTACTTTGTTTTAATTAAACTGCTAGTATTTCTTTGTCAAGGATGTTTCTAGTTTTTTGCTTTATTGCCTTGCATTCTAATGCAGTTTGTTCTGTAACTCGAGAGCCAGTAGCATTGGATTGATGGAAGTGTAGGGTTTATGAATTATTGCAGCTGACTACCATACCTCACACAGCGTTGGTGTTGTGAGCGGCCCATGAAAAGCCAAATTAAAAATCAAGGATTCAGTCAAACTAAGCAGGTACTCATGCCAGGTACTCCTTTCTCTACCCACATCCATGTTTGAATGCTCTTGCCTGTGATCTTTACGCTTAACTGTTGTGTATCTTTTTGTTCTTTACAAGAAGTGCAGGGGGTTTTTTGTGTATTGCGTGGAAACTGATAAAACAAATGTTAACAGAATGGAATTTTTTTTCAACTGTGTGTAGGGCTGCAGTGGTGGCCAGAATTAGATATCTTTAAAGAATTTTAAATACAATAAACACTTCATATTATTCGCCTTGTTACACTCAATGCAATTCTCGAGTCTATAAGAGGTATGTGCTTAATATTTCCTACTGTGTAGGAGAATTTGCAGTCAGCCGTAGGTAGCAGGAATAGTCACTCACTGGCTGATACATTTAAAGCAGCAGTGTGAATATTAAGGACAGACACCTTCAATTTGTGAAATCAAAGAACTGGTGCACTATGTAGAATGAATTTGGGTTTTTAAAGAACTGTTAAAAGTTAGGTACTGTAAGTGTTCTCAAAACCTATAAACTTCATTCTGTGGGCTAGTGGCGTGGGACAGAATATTACTAATGAAAGGAAGTACCAATTAGTTGATTTGTTGATGGCATTCCCCTTTTGGGAAAGCAATATAAGGGTATGTCTGTGTGAGTCATTGACACGTAGGCAGGCATACACAGGCACATGGCTTTAAGAACCACACTGATGCCTTGATAATTAAAAAGATTGCAAGCATTCCATGTACACATGTTAATTAGCAGTTAGTGACTGGGCCAACACTTTCTCATAAAAATTGGCTTTTTACATGTTGTCTAATTATCATTTTTCCCCAAATTTTGCATTGTAGGACTACTGTTCGAAGATTTTTGGAAGAATACTGGGAACGACATAAAGTGAAGATCGACATTTAAAAAATGAGGTGAAAGAAAGCTATAGTGGCATAGAAAAAGTATAAAGCTCAGTTAGTTTTTTTATTATTATTATTAAAAGTTAATTCAGGACTGATGTGACATAACAGATTTCAGAACATGTGTTAATAGTATATATGCCACTGAAAACTTAGGTCCTGTATCATATTTTTTTCTTTAAGACTTTTTAAGAAATATTACTTAAACATGTGGCTTGCTCAGTGTTTAATTGCAAGTTTTCATTCTTGGACTTTGAAAACAGGATTAAACGTTAGTATTCGTGTGAATCAGACTAAGTGGGATTTCATTTTTACAACTCTGCTATACTTAGCCTTTGGATTTAGAAGTAAAAATAAAGTATCTCTGACTTTCTGTTACAAAGTTGATTGTCTCTGTCATTGAAAAGCTTTAGTATTAATCTTTTTCTAATAAAGTTATTGACTCTGAACTAGTCCCCTGTTTTAAATACAAGAGTTACACCATTACTAGAGGTGTTGGTGTACAGTTTTAACTAATTTGTTCTGTTTAAGACTAATTTTTATAGAATTTCTAGTTAAACGTTTTAACTAATGGTGCTTCAATTTTAGGTGGTTATGGATAATTTGAATTTTGCTTTTAATAGCAAAGATGTACAGTGAACTAGAATATATTTTTACATCCCTCAGAGATTCCTTCAGTAGTAGAAAATTCCAAGTATCCTTCTGACAAGCACTCTTTAGCTAGCTAGTTATGAAATAATGATGTAGAAAAGCATTTAAGAGCTAGTTTTTGTTCTTTAAGTCCTGTATCAAGATTTCTTCTAGCCCGGTCTTGTCAGTTTATAAATGTGCTTGTGTATAGGGTTATATAGCTAGGGTTCCCCCAACCCCAAGCAAGTGATTATTTTTGTATTACATCTAGGAAAACTGGCAGCATGTTACTGTCTATAGGCAGCTTCTTCAACTGTATAAAAGTATTCTCTCCAGCTGCGTATATATACACACACATACATATCGTAGCAATTCCTTGTGGTTTATAACTTTCTACTGCTATCAGTTTATAGGTAAAGAAACTGAGTGTGTTAAAATGACTTACCCAGGGAGGGTCCTGTGGCTTCATGTTTATGGAGTTGCTAGGTCTCTGCCTCATAGTCCAGTGCCTAACTGTTAAGCCACTGTGTTCATTCTAATAGGCATAATGAATTATTAAAAGAATTTACAAAAATCTCTTCCACTAAACTTTGAAAAATAATGAAGCCACCACTTTAGAGGCTCGCTGTGGAGACAAAGAGTCCTGCTAGCTCCCTAACTGATCCTGGAGATGCAGCAATAGATGAGTGGGTTTTTAAAGTATTAATTAAAAAAAACTTAGCAAGTTATTAAAATACCGGATTTTTTCTGCTTTGCCTCATCTAGAATCAGCATCTAACTTAAATGAAGTACAGTAAATGAGCTCCTATGAAAAGGCTTCCTCTGTGGACACTTAGCTCTATTATAACGATTGAAGTTACCTGGGATTTGGGGGGGAGGGGAGAGGAGGACCTGCCTCCTCAGGGCATCCATGACTAAGGCCTGTCTTTAGTCATGAAGAGAGGCCTAGAAATTGAGTTTTATTCCCAAAATTGATAATGGATGAAGAGGAACTGATTATTGTCAACCATCTCACAAGAATACAATATTGAGACCAATTCACTAGAAGAAATAAACATGTCTGCCATACACACCAAAAAGTTACTAGTTGGTGAATGCATATTTTCTCTTTGGAAAGTCTTTTAGGGGAGCAAACAAGTTTTAATTAATAAGATTGCTTGGTAAGTTTGAAATCTGTAATCAGTTGGTCCTTTTTTAAAAAAGCAACTTTATTTTGGAAATTTAAAGACACGCAAAAGTGGAATGGTCTAATTAGCCTCTGTTAATTCATCACCAACAAGAGCCATGGCCACTCTTACTTCATGAGTGATTGTATTTGTGTCCTCTGCCCCCTATTATTTTTGAGTAAGTCTCAGACATACCATTTAATATGTAAGTAATTCAGCACGTATCTCTAAAAGCAAAGACTTCTTAAATAACAGTTTATTAACATAAAACAAGTAGGGTAAACTTTTGTCAGCCATCAGACATTTTATAGCACTGGTCCAATAGTTTAATTTCCATTGAGCCTCTCAGGAGCAGTCTGCTGCTCAAGACATCCTCTCCTCTGGAAGGTAGAGATAGACTATATATATATGTGTGTGTGTGTGTGTGTGTGTGTGTACACACACACACACACACACACACACACATGTATATATCGTGCCCCTTTTTGTTAAAACTTTTTTTTTCCCACCCCCTTCAAACAGTGTTTTTCAATTTGGGATGAACCATCCTCCTTGTTTTCTTGATCTTGAGCTTATAATAACCTAGTCATACTGCTCAGCTATTTTTATCCCCTCTCCTTAGGCACTCTGGTTTCTTAAATATAGTTAGTGTCACAGAGGATAACCAACGTTATTTCCGAGGTCTGGGAACGCTTGGATTGCATATTGGTTGAGCTTGGCCACCTTCTGATTAAAAAGTTTTCAGAGTTGTAAGAACTGAACATTTTTATGATGGGAATTCTCTGAGCCCTCGTCCATTCTGTTTTTAAAAATGCATTGCAGATGGGCTATGTGAATGTGTTATTAAACATCTGTTATGTGCATGAAACAAAAAACACTTGCAGTTACTGTGTATATGATTCTGTGGGTTAGGACTTCATTCAGGGTGGGTTTTCAAGTTTGATTTCTTGAGGGATTTTTAGTTGTGAAAGAACCCCAGATTTACTTCTGAAATTTTGTATTACAATTGTAATGTTGCATATGGTTTAAAAAAAAAAAAGTGTTCAGTGATCTATGTCTCCTACTCCTACCCTCTCTTCTTAATCTCCAGGAGCTGCTACTGTTTAACAGTTCTTCCAAGTTTTGTTTTGTTTTGTTTTGTTTTGTTTTGTTTTGTTTTGTTTTGTTTTGTGGGAAGGTGGGAGGAAATATAAACATATATGTATAGATTCTATAAAATATATGATGGCATATCCATATGTTCTGAGTCTTACTGTTTTCACCTGGTAATATTTAGAAACAGTTATTTTGAGATAAAGGAGACAGCACTTTTCAGTTGAACCTGTAGTTTTTAAAAGTACATTTCAAGTAAGCCAAAGCAGAGAAGTAAATTGTATTTTTCATTGTCGTATCAGAATTTTGAATTTACCATTTTAAAAATTCATGAGTTTCATAGCTGATCCATTTCTTCCCCTCAGCCATTCCAAATAGATCATTTGTTAACAGATTTGACTGTTTAGAAACAACAACTTTGGGAAACGGGAAACAGTTTGGCATAAGTCCATAACGTCTCGTAGCCATTTACTCCTGGGTACATACTCTAGGGAAACTCTTACACACGAGTACCAGGGGATGGATTTAAGAATGTCCTAACAGCATTATGTGTGATAGGAAGAAAAGAAGAAAAAACCTGGGAAGACCCCAATTGTCCACCAACAGTGTGTTGGATAAATACTGTGGTATATTCCAACAGTGGAATTCCACAGAAGTGAAACTGAGTGCAGCCCTGCATGTGAACATGGACAAAACTCAACAGTCAAGGGGTCAGAAAAAGCAAGTCACAGAAGAATACATCCACTGTGATTCCATTTCGATGAAAGTCCAAAAACAGGCTGTCCAATACATGATAAAAGGAAACGATAGCCGTTTTGATGAAGGGAGAGGTGATGATGAGGGCAGAGAGGGGTCTTCAGAGGAACTGGTGAGGCTCTTATTTCTGAAGCCCTGTGGGCATTTTCTTTTTTAAGCTGTATGTTTATGTGCTTTTGTATGTATGATATTTCTTAAATAAAAATAATGGGAAAATATCTTTGTGTATGTAGTTACTAATTGATATATAAACTGTAGTGTATTTCATAAAATCCTTCAATGAGTGACAAATTTAAAGATGCTGTTTCTTGAGTGCCCAATTTTGAGTTTTTTTGTTTGTTTTTTGAGACAGGCTGTCACTGTCACCCAGGCTGGAGTGCAGTGGCATGATCTCACCTCACTGCAACCTCCTCCTGGGTTCAAGCAATTCTCATGCCTCAGCCTCCCCAGTAGCTGCTATTAAAAGGTGTGCGCTACCACCCCTGGCTCATTTTTCTGTATTTTTAGTAAAGGGGGGTGTTTCACCATGTTGGCCAGGCTGGTCTCAAACTCCTGAACTCAAATAATCGGGCATGCCTTGGCCTCCCAAAGTGAGCCACTGCACCCAGCCTTCAAATTTAAGGTCTTAATTGTAGTTCTTAAAAAGCTAGAAAACAAGACCTAAATAAATGTTTTCTGTGTGATATTTTCATCTTAACATAATTTTTACGTGGCTGCCAGCCAGGGAGCTGATGCTTTTGTCTTCCTATTTAAGCAGTTTCCAAAGAAGATTTTCTCAGATTTGTGCCATTCTGGGAAGGAAAACTGGTGGACTGTGCTGGACTCCTTCCCCTGGCTCAAGTCAGATTGTCACCTCAGAGAGGCAGCCGCTTTGGCCTCGTTCTGGTCTTAGTAGGGGTACCGTGAAGTGTTAACAAAAATGTTTATTCTTTAAAAGGAGGAAAGTGAAATTTGAATTGCACTTGCAAATTCATAAGATTCATGTAACTAAGGCCCTATGTCATTTTACAGTAGTCTTGTTACTGCTCAGCTATGCTCCCAGGTGAGACTTGGATCCCCTCAGTATGAGCCTAGGGCTTGGCTGTGAGCTCATCCAACACATCCTGAGTGCTCCTACGTGCCATGGAGTAACTGATAGCTTTAGATACACCAAGAACAAAATAAGTGCAGCTCCAGCTCTCTCCACCTGGCTAATTTTTATATTTTTAATAGAGATGGGGTTTCACCATGTTGGCCAGTATGGTCTTGAACTCCTGACCTTGTGATCCACCCATGTCAGCCTGTCAAAGTACTGGTATTAACAGGCATGAGCCACGACACTCAGCTTTCCCCCTAGCCCCCTTCCCTCCCTTTCTGAGACAGAGTCTTGCCCTGTCATCCAGGCTGGAGTGCAGTGGCATGATCTCAGCTCACTGCAATCTCTGCCTCCTGGGTTCAAGCGATTCTCCTGCCTCAGCCTCCTGAAGTGCTGGGATTACAGGCATGAACCACCACACCTGGCCTGACAATCTCATAAGGGACACCTATACTCATCAGGATTAGGGCACAACTCTACAAAACAAACTGTCCGTGGTGTATTATACCTTGGAATTTTGTTTCATAGCTGTTTATCAAAATACCAAACCTCTCTCAGCCCAGAGAATTCGGAGGTGAGGAAACATTTCTCACAGTTCAGACATGAAGTTGGTCAAACTTGCATGCATCCGGACTTATTTACAAAATAATTTCAGTTTTTTTATTCCTGAGGTTATTTATTTCAAGAGACAATTTCTCTGTTGCCCAGGCTGGAGTGCAATGGCACAATCTCAGCTCACTGCAACCACCACCTCCCAGGTTCAAGCTATTACCCTGCCTCAGCTTCCCGAGTAACTGGGACTACAGGTGTGTGCCACCAAACCCAGTTACTATTTGTATTTTTAGTAAGATGGGGGTTTCACTATGTTAGCCAGGCTGGTCTAGAACTCTTGACTTCAGGTGCTTTGCCTGCCTTGGCTTCCTAAAGTGCTGGGATTACAGGTGTGAGCCACCATTCCTGGCCATTCCTGGGATGATTTAATAAGTCATTTTTGCAGCTTTGCTATTGTAGCAGGATCTTTCTGTCAGAGATGGTATATACTCTGTCAATTCAGAGCTTCCATTTTTCATTAAAATGAGTTCTACTTCCTGAAAGTCCCGCAGTCTTCGAATGTCTTGGTCCTTAATTTGGAAAAGAAATTATATCATGCTTAATACATATGAATGTATTTAAAAGATTTAGTATTGCTCAGCATCTTGGATTCTGAATTCGTAAGTTTTGGGGGTTTTTTGTTTGTTTGTTTGTTTGTTTAGACAGTCTTACTCCTGTCACCCAGGAGGCTGGAGTGCAATGGCATGATCTCGGCTCACTGCAACCTCCACCTCTCAGGTTCAAGCGATTCTCCTGCCTCAGCCTCCCAAGTAGCTGGGATTACAGACACCCGCCATCATGCCTGGCTAATTTTTGTATTTGCAGTAGAAATGGGATTTCACCATGTTGGCCAGGCTGGTCTTGAACTCCTGACCTTAGGTGATCTGCCCACCTCGGCCTCCCAAAGTGCTGGCATTACAGGCATGAGCCACTATGCCTGGACCCCATAAGGTATTTTTGTTTTTGTTTTTGTTTTTGTTTTTTTTGAGACAGGCTCTCCCTATGTCACCCACCTTGGAATGCAGTGATGCAATCACAGCTCACTGCAGCTTCAACTTCCTGGGCTCAAGCAATCCTTCCACTTCCACCACAGCCTCCCAAGTCCACCACGCCCAGCTAATTTTTGTATCTTTTTGTAGAGAGGGTTTCACCATGTGCCCAGGCTGGTCTCAAATTCCTGAGCTCAAGTAATCTGCCCACCTTGGCCTCCCAAAGTGCTGGGATTACAGGCATGAGACACCACACCCAGCAGGTTTTTGTTTTTAAGGCATCTGGAAAGTGGGATCATCCCTTGACGTGTTAGTTTACAAAGAATGTACACTATAAGCCAAAACACCAATAAGAATTGCCAAAGGCCACCCATGGCTTACGCCTATAATCTCAGCACTTTGGGAAGCTGAGACAGGCAGATCACGAGGTCAAGAGATCGAGACCATCCTGGTCAACATGGTGAAACCCCGTCTCTACTAAAAATACAAAAATTAGCTGGGCGTGGTAGCGCACGCCTGTAATCCCCGCTACTCGGGAAGCTGAGGCAGGAGAATTGCTTGAACTCGGGAGACGGAGGTTGCAGTGAGCCGAGATTGCGCCATTGCACTCCGATCTAGGTAACAAGAGGGAAACTCCATCTCAAAAAAAAAAAAAAAAAAAGAATTGCCAAAGGCACACCTATTATCCTAGCACTTTGGAAGCTGAGGTCTGGGGCTTGAGAACAACAGCCGCAATATAGCAAGACTCATTTCAAAAAAAAAATTTTTTTTTAATTAGCAGAGTGTGATGGTGTGCCCCTGTAGTCCCAGCTACTCTAGAGGCTAAGATGGAAGGGTTGCTTGAGCTGAGGATTTCGAGGCTCCAGTGGGCTATGATCATGCCATTACATTCTAGTGTGGATGACAGAGTGAGACCCTGTCTCAAAAAAAATTAAAAGTTGCCGAAAGAATTTTGAAAGCTTAAATTTTCCAAATAAGATTTCCTTTCCAAAATTAAAAATTAGTGTATCTATTTTGAATCTGGGAAATATATAAAAATGCAAAACAAGCTTTGTTTCCTGAGATTTGCTAAGCAAATAAGGGTGGGTTTGTGTTTTCTCTCCTGAGGACCATGCCATTTTTTATTAACCAGTCAGTTTTGCAGAGATTGGTGGAGCCAAAAGTACTGAACTAGAGTCTTAAATTGGGGAGTCACTTGTCATTGAGTTTTTTGGGGGGAGGGGAGACGGAGTCTAGCTCTGTCACCAGGCTGGAGTGCAGTGGTACCATCTTGGCTCACTGCAATCTCTGCCTCCCGTCTTCCCAGGTTCAAGCGATTCTCCTGCCTCAGCCTCCTGAATAGCTGGGATCACAGGCAGGCACTGCCACGCCGAGCTAATTTTTGTACTTGCGGTAGAGATGGGGTTTCACCATGTTGTCCAGGATGGTCTCGATCTCTTGACCTTGTGATCCACCCACCTCAGCCTCCCAAAGTGTTGGGATTACAGGCGTGAGCCAACACACCTGGCCCATTTACAGGTTTTTAAAAGGTTTATGGATTTAGCTGTGCAAATCTATGACCTACCTACTATGTTTGGCCATTCTGTAGCCAGGATTTCTGGTGTCATGAAATGCAAAAGGTAAACTGTTGGCTCCTGCAAACATGATGTCACCCACTGTGACTCTGCATTTAGAAACTCACAAACCTTACCTTTCTGAGCAGGGTGTTTGGTAGCTTTCTGATCTTCTCCACTTGCTCTGGGTTAATCCCCAGTTCACAGCAACTCACTTTTAGTAAATTTTGGTAACTCAGTTCTTGTCTCTTCAGTTCAATTTCAATGAAGTCATTTTCTTTGGGGCTCTGAATTCTGACTTTAAGCACCAGCTCTAAATCACCCATAAATTCAAAATACGGTTTGTAAAGGAAACAAAATACCTGTTAGAGATTTTCATATATGTTATGATAGCATAAGTAATCCTAAAAACTGAATGTTAAGTAGACATGGAGCTTTCGTGGGCACATACACACTTTGCATTAACTGAGGCTGCTTTTCTTGGAGCACTGGGCAAGCTCCAGGAGGTATGCCCCCATTATATCCACTGAAAACAGAAAGTTTGCCGCTTTAAGCCAGCCAAGGATTTAAAGTATGCAATGGGGGCCAGGCGCGATGGCTCATGCCTGTAATCCCAGCACTTTGAGAGGCCGAGGCGGGTGGATCACGAGGTCAAGAGATTGAGACCATCCTGATCAACATGGTGAAACCCCGTCTCTACTAAAAATACAAAAAATTAGCTGGGCATGGTGGTGCGTGCCTGTAATCCCAGCTACTCAGGAGGCTGAGGCAGGAGAATTGCCTGAACCCAGGAGGCGGAGGTTGCGATGAGCCGAGATCCGCGCCATTGCACTCCAGCCTGGGTAACGAGCGAAACTCAGTCTCAGAAAAAAAAAAAAAAAAAGTATGCAATGGATATTTAAACACATTACCCTTAGGCAGTACGTAGCAGTGGCTCATACCTTGTTGCTTATCTGGAAAGCTTCAGGGAAATGTGTAGCCCGGGGGCCCTGGTATCCTTAAACAAGCTGTGGTGCAGAGGAGCAAATAGCTCTTGAGATTCCTCCCCACCGCCCCCACTCCTCCAGAAATAGGATAATTCTACCATCTTAGGACAGTGGCATTGTATTTCAACTTAACTGTCCTGAGAAGATGCAGAACGAACTAAAAGTCCAAAGAAAAACCAGATGGTTGGTTTGGCCTTGCAACAGGGTCACATAGGGGCCGAGTCTTCACCTAGACAGGTGTCACTGGGTTTGTTGTTATCACTCGGGTCCATTGGCAAGTGTGGATTTGTGCCTTCTTGTTTATCTTTACCTGGGAGAGAATTAGGAGAGAACTGAGAAGCAGCAGGACCTCACCAGTTGGCTGTCTGCCAAAGGACGCGGGTGCCCCACTTCCACTTCCTGTCCTGCAGCTTATCCTCCCCTTCTCGAGGGAAAAGGCAAGTCAGGAAAAGGGCAGCAATTACTTTCAGTCTTGAAGAGTCATTTGCTTTAATCACCACTCAAATCATGAAAAGGAGCTGAGGCAGTATTTTTAAATGGTGCGTAATCTGGGGAAGAAATATTTATAATCTCTGTGCTTAGCTCAAGTTTTTACTTAAATATTTTTGGCACAGAGTGCTTTATGTCTTCAGTTCTCTAGCAGAGACAGTTAGGAGGGTGCCTTTATAAGGAGAAATGTTCTCACCCAGAGGGAAGGGAAAGGAGTGAATATTTGGAGTGCTTTGCATATGCCAGGCCTTTTGGGTACTTCTTTCTTTCTTACAATATCCCCTGAACATGTTGAAAGCCTGCTTTGCACCAGGCACTGGGCTAAGCCCTGGGGAACTCATGATCAAAAACCCCAAAGATGTCTCTGTCCCCCCGGAGTTTGCAGGCCAGCAGAAGAGACAGATGTTAATAAATGGGAAATCACAGTTGTTGAGGACATGGTGAATGTGAAATATACAATTCTTTGAAAGCACGTTAGGGGGTCACAGGAGGCCTCCGTTAAGGTTGACATTTGAGCTGACATCTGAAGGATGAATAGGCTTAACTAGATCCAGAGGGCAGAGGAGGTGAAGAGCTTCCAGTAGGGCCCTGTGGAGAGTTCAACATGACTGCAGGGCCGAGAGCATGGAGGGAATGAGCGTCAGACAGGCCAGCAGGGGCTGGTTAGTCCAATGACGTAGCTCCTGGTTGCATGAGATAAGACACACAATGAGCGTGAAATATACCCTGGACTTTGGAGGCAATAAAAAAAATTCATACTTATATGTTGATACGATTTGTATATAGTGGGGACAGTATATTATTAAAATTCCTTTTACCTGATTTTAGTTTTTGAAATGTGGCTACTAGCAATTTTAAATTACATGTATGGCTTATATTACATTCCTATTGGGCAGCATTTGTCTAGATGAAAGGTTGTAGTCTTTGTCCTAGAACACCACCAAGCCATTTTAGTTTTTAGCAGAGAGCTGTCAAAATCAGATTCGTATTTTGGAAAAAAAGAAAATCTTCACTGTCCCCAAAAGAATCCTGTGGGGGGCCAGGCGCGGTGGCTCACGCCTGTAATCCCAGCACTTTGGGAGGCCGAGGCAGGTGGATCATGAGGTCAGGAGTTTGAGACCAGCCTGACCAATATGGTGAAACCCTATCTCTACTAAAAACACAAAAATTAGCTGGGTGTTGTGACGCCTGCCTGTAATCCCCAGCTACTCAGGAGGCTGAGGCAGGAGAATTGCTTGAATCCTCAAGGCGGAGGTTGCAGTGACCCCAGATCACGCCATTGTATTCCAACCTGGGCAAAGAAGTGAGACTCCATCTCAAAAAAAAAAAAAAAAAAAAAAAAAAAAATCCTGGGGGATATAGACATTATTCTTTTCCTTTTCAGACTGGAAAATTGAGGCTTAAAGGGGAAGTAATTTGCTTAGGTTGGTAAATGGACGGACATGGATGTGGCCAGGGCCAACTATGTAATTTGCAGAGCCGAGTGCAAAAGGAAAATGAAGAGGAATCCAGCTTCCTCTTCTCACAAGCCTCGGCTCCAACCCCCGGCAAACGAGTGACGCCCGAGGGATTGTGACCTCCCCACTTGAACGCACCAACTACCTGGATGGGGGTGGGTGAGAGAGTCCAGGGCTGCCTGCCACTTCTCCACTTCTGATCCCTGTTTTGCCTGAGCTCCCGAGGGGGACAAAGGTGACAGTGGAATGAGGGACTGTGGCAGAGGATTACAGCAGTGGTGGGGCTGATCTGGGTGTGGAGACCACATGCGTGAGCTGAGGCTCCAACTCCCAACCCCGGCGCATGCTTCACTGTCTCATCTGATGCCACTTACGAAACAAGTTCAAGGCTAAAATTATGACACATTTCAAGTCCACAACCACAGAACATGGAACCCCAAGCCCAGGGCCTTTCTGAATGTAGGGCCCTGGGCAACTGCACTGATCACAGCCTCATGAAGTTAGCCCTGTTCGTGCCACCCTGCCAAATGCCTCTAAGGAGAGGAGACGCTCCTGCCCAACTCAGCCCCGTCCCGGGACAGCAATAATGTCCCCTCCCCTAGTGAGTGGGGATCTGCAGTCTTCTCTTTGCCTTTCAATTTCGGGCCCTGGAGGCAGCTCAGGGCTGTGGCCCCTTCTCAGGTAGCCCCTGGGGAGCTGGGCCCCGGCCCACCTGCCAGTACCTGATCTGATACTGATCCCTGATACAGATACCAGTACCTGACCTGAAATGAAGCCTTCCTGCCTGGCCAACTCACCCAGCACAGCCTGAGAACTTTCCCTGCCCAGTCCACTATGTCTGAAAGCATTTTATTCTGTGATTAATGTGTCAGCTCTGTGAATGGACAGGGTCTCATGGAGGTCAGAAAGCATGCCTTTGCACTCAGGCAGATTTGGGTCTGAATTCCTCTGCCACTTAGTAGCTTTGACACCTTGAGCAAGTTACATAACCTCTCTGATCTGGAAAATGGGGTTAACAATCCTACCTCACAGGACTGTAAGAAGTCAGTGAGAAAGTACACAGAAGGTACAACTTCCCAGCAGTGGTGAGCACCAGTAATAGCTGGCCGCTATTATTATTTACTGTAGCTATGGACACTTGCTTCCTTCCGAAAGGACCGGGGATCTAGTTGCGCTCGGCTTCACTACCCCACTGGCAGAGCAGGGGAGGCCATGGGGCACTGCTGGCCACAGCGTCATCCCTGTTCCAGCCTTCCCCAGCCCCCTGTCCCATGCTTCTTGAGGACCATGTCCGGAACAGGACTCCCAGACTCACCTGCTGGCTTCTCCCTGATGTCCTGTTCCGGTTCAGCCATGAGTCGCCTCTACAGTCTGTCAGATGTGCAGCCTCTCTCGCATTTATTCAAAAGCTCCCAGCCAAAGAAAAAGCACTTTCTAAAGCCTCAGCACATCTGTCTGCAATGCAAGAACAGTGTGTTCTTGTCAGCCCAGTGAGACAGCGCAGGGTCATTTATTTTATAGATAGGGAAATGGAAGCTCCGGTGAATTACATGGATTGCACAGGGTGATGCAAGTGAAGAGAGGTTCTGAAGTTCAAGGCTCCATACTCCCTTCTCAGGCAGGCCAGTAGTACTCACCCAAGGGAATGGTGCCCTTTGGAGGAGAGGCCTGAGAGGCGCAGCAGGAACCCAGCCAGACCCTAGAAGGAGCCAGGCCCTCCTTGGAAAAGGTTGCTAGCTTCTACATCAAGGGTAAGACCAAAAAAAAAAAAAAAAAAAAAAAAATTCCAGGCCTGGTGGCTCACGCCTGTAATCCAAGCACTTTGGAGGCCAAGACAGGTGGATCACCTGAGGTCGGGAGTTCAAGACCAGCCTGACCAACATAGTGAAACGCCATCTTAAAAAAAAAAAAAAGGGTAAGACAAACCGAACACTTTGTTTCTTGGTTTGAATGGACTCTTTCTTCTCTCCATTTTGCTCTTTTCTCCCAGCCCCTTCCTCAGTAGCTGTGCATGACAAGAAAGAAGCAGGAAGACCCCTCCATACCTGGGAAGGTGGCCCTGGTGATGATCCTGGATCCCCTGATTCTAGACATTAAAATGGAGGAGGCAGAGGCTGGAGCAGGAGGCTCAGTGAAGCATGGGTGGGGCTGGTCAAAGTCCGCGGTGAGGCTGCTGCCCCAAAGGCAGGCTGAAGACAGGAGGAGGTGCAAGGATAGGAACCCAGATGTTCGGGTGACGCTCACATTTCATTTAACCCTCCAGTGACAAAAGACGGTGCAATTAACCCTCCAGTGACAAAAGACGGTGCAAGCAGACGGGGCATCAGGGTGGGCCTCAGCATCAAAAAACTGGAGAGATCTGGCTGGGCGCAGTGGCTCACACCTGTAACCCTAGCACTTTGGGAAGCCGAGGCAGGTGGACTGGCTGAGCTCTGGAGTTTGAGACCAGCCTGGGCAACTCGGTGAAACCCTGTCTGTACTAAAATACAAAAAATTAGCTGGGCTTGGTGGCATGCATCTGTTGTCCCAGCTACTCGGGAGGCCGAGACAGGAGAATCGCTTGAACCTGGGAGGTGGAGGTTACAGTGAGCTGAGATTGCGCCATTGCACTCCAGACTGGGCGGCAGAGCAAAACTTCGTCTCAAAACAACAACAACAAAACAAAACCAAAAAAACGCTGGAGGGAGCTATGGAGATCATAGCCCAAGGGCTCTCAAACGTGACATGCGTTGAAGTCGCCGGGGAAGCTCTAAAAACTGTGGGTGCCCAGGTCCCATCCTACAGTCTGACTTAGCTGGTCTGGATGCAGTCTGAGCCCCAGAACTTTATAAAGGTTCCCAGCTGATTTCAATGTGCAGCCAAGATTGTGAACCATGGATTTGGTCAAGCCGCTTAAAGGAGCAAACAGGGAAACTGAGGCCTTAAAAAGTGAAATGTTTACCACTAGTCCCATGGCCAGCCAGGCACAGGCCTGGCACTGGACCTGGCTCACCTGGCTGCCAGGCTGACGCTGCCTTCTCAGCATGCTGGTGTGTCTTTCTTCAAGAACCCGGACAGGTGGGGGCAATGGAAAGGCAGAAGTAGCAGGGATCCCCTGGCCTGGACTCCTGAAAAAATGCACTTTGGCCAGCCCGGCTGCCAAGGTGTGGTCAGCCATAAAAAAGGCATCTTGAGCCTCTGCCCTTGAGTGGGCGTGGCTACAGGTGCCGGGGAGCTGTAGATGAAAAGGCTTGGCACCTGAGGGGCAGCCTCAGTTCATTCTCATTTTACTCATCTGTTTGGTCTATTTCACTCCCCATTCACTGATTCACTCATTCACTCAACAACACTCATTTTTTTCTTATTTAGGGGAACACACTTTCTTCTTTTAATTTATTTGAGAAGGAGTTTTGCTCTTGTTGCCCAGGCTGGAGTGCAATGGGGGGATCTTGGCTCACTGCAACCTCCCGATTTCAAGTGATTCTCCTGCCTCAGCCTCCTGAGTAGCTGGGGATTACAGGTGTGCGCCACCACACCCAGCTAATTTTTTTTTTTTTTTTTTTTTTTTTTTTTTTTTTTGAGACGGAGTTTTGCTCTTTTTACCCAGGCTGGAGTGCAATGGCGCTATCTTGGCTCACTGCAACCTCCGCCTCCTGGGTTCAGGCAATTCTTCTGCCTCAGCCTCCTGAGTAGCTGGGATTACAGGCATGCCCCACCATGCCCAGCTAATTTTTTGTATTTTTAGTAGAGACGGGGTTTCACCATGTAGACCAGGATGGTCTTGATCTCTTGACCTTGTGATCCGCCCGCCTCGGCCTCCCAAAGTGCTGGGATTACAGGCTTGAGCCACAGGGGCCGGCATTTTTTTTTTTTTTTTTAAGATGAGGTTTTGCTATGTTGGCTAGGCTGGTCTTGAACTCCTGACCTAAGGTGATCCAGCTGCCTTGGCCTCTGAAACTGCTGGGATTACAGGTGTGAGCCAACACGCCCAGACTTTTAATTTTAAGGTTTAAAATTAAAGTAATACATGTTCTATTTTTTAAAAATCTTACTGGTACTAAGAATCAGGGCCAATTAGCAAGGAAGAAGGCCAAGTGTGTTGGGGGAAGTCACCTGCCACACAGGCATGTGACTTGTTCCACTCCTTATGCTGGGCACTTAGTGGGACCTTTTATCTATGTATTAGTTTTGCCTGCGTGTGAGCCTGTGAGAGGTAGCTTTTAATTCTGGCATAGTTTCAAACTTACAGAAAGCTGTGCCAGGAATAGTGGCTCATGCTATTAGGAGGATTGCTTAGACTAGCCTGGCCAACATGGTGAAACCCCATCTCTACAAAGAATAAAAAACGAAAGAGCTTTTCTTCTTATCCATTCATTCATTTATTATCATTGTGAACTCGTGGATTCTTATTTATCCAGTGGTTCCATCACTGCCATGATCTACCCTGATGCTTAAATCATCCCAACTTTGCCCAGCATTTTATCCTAACAGCTATTCCCCATATCCTTTGATGTATCCCCATTATTTTTTTAGCACTTTATTTATTTAATTTTATTTTTTAGATGGAGTCTCACTCTGTCACCCAGGCTGGAGTGCAGTGGTGCGATCTCAGCTCACTGCAACTTCCGCCTCCCAGGTTCAACCAATTCTCCTGCCTCAGTCTCTCAAGTAGCTGGGACTACAGACACGTGCAACCATGATGAGCTTTTTTTTTTTTTTTTGAATTTTAAGTAGAGGGAGGGTTTCACCATGTTCATCAGGCTAGTCTCAAAATCCTGACCTCAAAGGACCCGCCCTCCTCGCCTCCCAAAGGGCTGGGATTATAGGCATGAGCCATCCCGCCCAGCCTGTGAGCACTTTCTGATTTCCTGGCACATCAAGATGTTCTGGGTTCCATTGCGCTTTCTCTGCCCCAGCCCTGCCATCAGGCACTTCTCCAAGGAGCAAGGTTCTTGTCCATGAGACACAGGTGTGATCATTCCCACTGAGATGACATTGCTTCTAGGCTTTTCCCGTGTGTAGAGCTAGAAACACACATACACACCATACATACATGCACATATACACAAACACATGCATCTATTTCTGTATATGAATGTATGTTTTAAAATCAATTTAATTTATTTAGTTTTCTCTTGTGTGTGTATATATATTTAAGAGAACAACTTCACATTTTCAATTCTATGCCAGCACCAAAGGATTCTCCCTAGCTGGCTTGCTTGCCTTCCTTTCTTCCTCCTCAGCTCTCTCTTTCTATTTTAAACAACAGAAATGTATTCTCTCACAGTTCTAGAGGCCAGAAACCCAAGATCAAGACATTGGGAGGGTTGCTTCCTTCTGGAAGCCCTGAGGAAGAATCTGTTTCATGCTGCTCTCCTATTCTAGTAGTTGCCAAACTCATGGTTCCATATTGTAACTCTTCTCCAGTGGGGGAAATCTGGCTCCTAACATATATTTTTTCTTTTTTTTTTTGAGAAGGAGTTTCGCTCTTGTTACCCAGGCTGGAGTGCAATGGCGCGATCTCGGCTCACTGCAACCTCTGCCTCCTGGGTTCAAGTGATTCTCTTGCCTCAGCCTCCCGAGTAGCTGGGACTACAGGCGTGTGCCACCATGCCCAGCTAATTTTTGTGTTTTTAGTAGAGACGGGGTTTCACCATGTTGACCAGGACCGTCTCGATCTCTTGACCTTGTGATCCACCAGCCTCGGCCTCCCAAAGTGCTGGGATTACAGGTGTGAGCCACTGCGCCTGGCCTCCTAACGTCTTTTAGAGACGAGTTTTCACCATATTGACCAGGCTGGTCTCGATCTCCTGGCCTCAAGCAATCTGCCTGCCTTGGTCTCCCAGAGTGCTGGGATTACAGGCATGAGCCACTGTGCCTGATTAATGTATTATTTCTTGAACATATTCATCATTAAGTGGTTCTGTAAGTAGAGTCAAACACTGATATTTTAAAAAGTGTTATTTTACTTTTTCATCCCTTCCATTTCATTCCCATCTATCTATGCCCTGTAGGAAACTAATCTATTTCGTTTCTGACTTATCCTTCCGATGTTTCTTTTTGCAAAATTAAACAGATTCCTTTTTTTCTTATTCCTTTCTTAAACAAAAGAAGCTACATATATTCTTTTCTGCTTTGCCTTTTTTTTTTTTCTTTGAGACAGAAGTCTCATTCCGTCACCAAGTGCCAGGCTGCAGTGCAGTGGCACGATCTCAGCTCACTGCAACCTCTGCCTCCCAGGTTCAAGCAATTCTCCTGCCTCAGCCTTCTGAGTAGCTGAGACTACAGACACACACCGCCACACCCAACTAATTTTTGTATTTTTAGTAGAGACAAGGTTTCACTATGTTGGCCAGGATGGTCTTAATCTCTTGAC